AACATACAACAGCAAAAATGAAGAAAAACAGAATAGTATATATAGAAATGCTAGCCAATACCAGACGGGATTGTTTAAAAGTGGCGTTAAGCATACTGCCTGGGAACCGCTGGTGAAGCTAGCAACAAAATAATATACAAAGGAAAATTAAAAAAAATGTTTCATGTTAAAATATATAATGTTATTAAGAATCTAGATATGAACTGTATATGCATGTATAAATGTGGTTGTAATTACACTTTTCAGTTCTCAATAAAGCGGTTTTTATGTCAATAATCAATAACCTGTGTAGCATCCACTTACCTACTACCCAGGCAACTATACACCATTCCCATAATGTCGGTGTCGGTCGCATGTCGTCCACCTTTTCATTATTTGGCATAGATTGCATTCCAAGTAAAAGCAAAAATATTACATTTGATGAAGAATGGCAGACAAATTGAACGTATGGAACTCGCATGAATTTTCTCATTCTACCCCATGGATATATAGCATAGGCACAGGAAAGAAGAGGAAAGAATACCGCTACTAAAACAGTGAAGGAAAGGGATGTTGACCAATGATAATCGAACCACGGTGGTAGGTCTTCATACCAGATTTGTGTCAAGCACTGTTGGCAATGAGGATGAGCAACAAACTGAAAAGAAAAAATGCAGGTATAAAGGCCAACTCAGACAGCATCGTACGACGCAGCCCGACGCGATTCATCGTCGGGGACAGTCTTAAGCCGTCGTGAGAAATATTAAACATGTTTAATATTCTACGACGCGACTGCCCCTGACGCAAACCATCGCGTCTGCGTTTAACTCATACAGACCCGACGAGAAAACAAATCGCGTCGAGCTGCGTCACTATTTGGTCAAACATCTATTGTAAATTCTTACTAGTTTCCCACAACCATTCGACTTTCAAAAATAGATAAAGTTACATTACCGAGAAACAAATATAAGCTTATATAATGTATATTGTAAAGTGCTAGTGACAACTTCCGTTTTAACCGGCGCTATAGAAATTATAAAATCTACCTATCTACCTATCTATCTATCTACTATGTAAAACACTCATATCACGGTAAGTCAGAACTCGAAACAAAAATATGTAAAAGAGGAGGCGTGGCACATCAATGCAAAATAAAGCCTGGTTCTCACGAGAGCCCTAGTATCAGGATCGGGAGCTAACCGTTAGCGCTAACCGTTAGCACCTGCGTGAGAACGCCCGATCGGTTAGCGCTAACCGTTAGCAGTATCCGGATACCACTAACTGTTAGCAAGTTGAGCGCGTTTCTACAACCGAATAGTTTACAATTTCCAGTTTTTTATTGGCCAGCTGAGACAATATACACTATAGTTGTCTCAGTTGACCAGTGATTCGATCATCATATTTTTGGTATCCGGATCGGGATTTTCTCGTATGGACGCACGGAAGCTAACGGTTAGCAGTTAGCACCCTTGTGAGAACATAGCCAATGTGAAACTAGAAGTAGGCCTGTGAAATTGTGTGTTTGGATGTGACGCTCTACACGGCCAATTTTACTCATCTCGTGAACCTTTATAAACAAGAGTAGAAATGCCGTCGCGAAAGCTCTACTAGGTCTGGGAGAAATATTCCCAGGTAGATACCACACAACAAACTGGTTAGGTTTTAGGCTAGTGTTACCCCAGACAAAGAGGTCATTTTTAACTGTATATTGCTGCTTAAGCCACATTTACACGGAGCAATTCTTGCTAGCAATATGATCTTCAATATTGCTTATACGAAAATTACTCCATGTAAATTCAGCATTTTTAAATAAAAGTGAGGCAGATGATTGACCAAGCAAGACCTCAAAATAAATTGAAGCGGAGCAAACTTTTCAGCAGAGTTATTATAAAAACGTCAAGTTCATAGGCGCAGATCATGGGGGAACGGTTGGTCTCCCACTTTATGACAACACTTTAACGCCATAAGTCAAAAAGATGCCAGAAAACTTTTGAAATTAACTCCATAAATGACTCTGGTTTTAACGAAAGAGCGCTGTACAGTCAAAGTACATCTTATCTTATTGCAAGATTCAGGTCTCTCTACCCACGATGCAATGAAGTGTTATTAAAAGTTTTTAATGGTGATGTGATGATGATAAATTTTACTATATAAGAGTGTCATTTCCGGCCATCTAGAGGTATTGTTCCTAACATTTTTGCACCAAAGCACCAAGCACCAATCATGGTGTGGTGGTGTGGCTGACGTGGACTGAAGACTGTCCCCCGCCCCCTTTCAAAAAAGATCTGCGCCTTGGGCAAGTTGACTATATACTGCATATAAAAATATCTGGAAAACCATTTTAAATTTGAAAAAGTAAATATAGTAAAAACAACAATGTGCAACTATTTCGTGAGTTATCATGATCGTGGGAATCTAAGCTGATCTGAGTTGTTCATATTGAATCCATTGTATAGTACATTAGAATAATTTTTTCCACAAATTGTGTTATACTTCACATAATATATCTATTTGCATAACATTAAATTTCATGAGAAATTATTACATAATCCTATCATATAATCATAATTACATTGTATTTTGTCATATATTATATCATATATAGATCCTTTTATATATTTATTAAATAATACTATTATTTTTACAACAATTTTTATAACAGTACCGTAATTGATATAGAGTATGTGAAAGTTTATTATATTTCATCGAAAAGTTTATTATTTCATTGAAAGTTTATTATATTTCATGAGAAATTATTACATAATCCTATCATATAATCATAATTACATTGTATTTTGTCATATATTATATCATATATAGATCCTTTTATATATTTATTAAATAATACTTTTATTTTTTACAACAATTTTTAAAACAGAGTATGTGAAAGTTTATTATATTTCATCGAATGTAATTGTTAATAAGTTTTCGTATATATAAATATGTATGAAAAACGGACATTGGATGAAAATTTATTCAATATTAAAAACTATTGATGGAATATTTGTCAATAATGTATAATTCTATGGGTCTATGGGCAAATTTTAAGATGGTGGCCAGACCAGATAGTACAAGACGTTACAAAATCACCAAATATAATTCAAATGCTGGGTCTGTCATTGGTCTACTATTCACTAACTTTCCGGAGCTCTTATCTAATTTGCCTCAAACCTCCATCCTTACTAAACCCATAATGCGTGAATATCTGCAGCATCCTAAGAAAGATTATGAGCACCTGAACTGGATACTGATGATATTGATTCACCTTGGAAAGGTTTCATGGACATGCTAATGCTGCAGATTTATACTTTACGTTACTAGAAATTCTAGTAAACACTGCAACCCATGGTTGACAGTACAATTGAAGAAATTGGTTCAAAAGAAATATATGATATTGATTCACCTTGGAAAGGTTTCATGGACATGCTAATGCTGCAGATTTATACTTTACGTTACTAGAAAATCTTGTAAACACTGCAACCCATGGTTGACAGTACAACTGAAGAAATTGGTTCTAAAGAAATATCGCATCTTTAGGAAAACGGAATTAAACGATTAATTGATAAGTCTTACGCTGACTATTATGAACATTCATATAATAAACAGGACACTACAACCCGATTTTGAACATTTGTAAAGGACAAATAAACGGTTAATGCATTTTCTAATAGTATTACATGAAATAAGTAATATATTTAGGAATTATTTTGTGTCTGTATTTAACTGATCTGATGTAATTCCCCCTGACGGCCCACATGCTCAACTTTCGTCCACCTCCATCTCTTTTTTCACATAATGAAAACTTTTCCCCTATTTTCGACAAAAGCTCAATCAGGTAAATTTGATCTACATCTTAATGGATGAACGCACTAACAGCAGAAAACTCGAAATCCGTAGCTGCTATTGGTTTAAAGCGCGTGACGTCATTCATAGAGAGGGTAAAAACGGTTTTGAATACAACATTTTAAAGACAAAATGATCACTGGTTATTTAACTAACCAGCATGAGACTTACATATCAATAAAACTTAATTTGTGAGCTACACTTGACCGTTCACACCGAAGTTTAGCGACCTGTCGTTGCAGAGTTATGTTAAGAAGAAGCAGGAAGTATACCAAATAACACGTCTATAATTTTAACTTTTTTCCTATGCAAAAGTATAAGATGTTGTCTACTTTAAAAGAAAAATGATCACTCAATTTTGCATTAATTGTAAGAATATATAGATGATTATAAAGCTTAAAACATCTAGTTTTATAATCCGATCGCCCCAGATTGCCAAATGAAACCATTCAAATTATATAGTCGATAAAGTGCGCAGATGTCTTGAAGTTTTCATTATGTCCAATCATTTCTAAAAATTGTCCAAACAAATGAATTGACAAACTAAAATCATGCTTGCCACTCACTGACATCATTATAGATCTCAAAGTCATCTTGGACAATCGAAGCCCCAGTTATTGTTGTTATATTTCTGGATATGTAGCAGAATTTGACACACTACCACATGACCTACTGCTAAACTTTCTACTCATTTTCAAGGCCCTCTTTGGAGATGGGTCTCCCCCTTTCATACGTTCCGTACTCAAAGTTTAAAAAAAAAAATATGTTCTTCATCCCCTAAACCTTATTTTTTTCCCCCCATAGTGGTCGTTCAACATAATCATTGTATTCGCAAGTGTACAAATAGTATACAAGGGGGAGGGGGTATATAAATGTATACACTTTTACATATGCATAAAAATGCAACAAATTACCAAATAACATGCAATATGTAAAATAATTGTAAAATTATAATATTCATTTTAAAGCAACCATGTACATTTCTTTAGTTGACTTCACAAAACAATGCAGAATGGTTTTGCAAAATTAACTTTTTTTGTACACTTTTAGAGGGAGGGAGGGGTACCGAAAAATAGTACTGTTTGTACACTTGTAAAAATGTTAATAATTGTGAACGACCCCTAAGTATATGAAACGAAATCAAAATATTACAAACGAATTAAAAAGTCTTTAAAAAATTAGCTTAATATCGCACCATCTTGTGTATCTTGTGTGAAAAAAAAATACCCACTATCATTTTGTTTTTGCACCGTTAAAGGTTTGGAGAATATTTCAATGTGGACAAGCCTTTTGGAAGAGCGTTTTGAAAGTGTTGTATTCAAACAAATAGCAACCACGCCCTTCCAATTCCTGCGCTAGTTTACTTAAATTTTAAGATCGCTAACACAAATAAATCATTTTTTTTAGCAAATTCACCTTCTTATAAGGGTTACAAATATCTTCGAGTGATTGGGAGGATTTCAAGGTACCATGATATGAGGTATTTAAAATAAATTTGTTAATGTATTAGAGTTTTTCATCACAAGTGACACGTTGAATTTTATATTTTTAATTCAATTCAATTCAATTCAATTCACTTTATTGCTTCATAAGCCAAGAGGGCTACTATCCGCTTAAACTATACATATATAGGCCTACACATAAATACATTGAAAAGAAAAACATATAAAATAAAGCACATGCAACTACTTCATAGAAAGGTCATTCCGGATGGAACCAATGTTTAATTCATCAGAGTCAAGATTAAGAGATGAAAGAATACGTAGAGAAAATGGAAGGAAAGATTTATGAAAACGATCGGTTTTAGAAGAAACATTTAAAAATCTGAGGTGACGAGAATTGAAGATTGACGGTGTGAAGGAAGAAAAGAATAAAGGGGATGGTCAGGAGTCTTAAGAATTCGGCCAAAAGCACAGAGTGTAAAAAATTTAATTTATTTTATTTAATTTATTTAATTTTTTATATTTTTAAGATTTTTAAAATTAAGAAAATAGTCGTACAAACACAAGTTAGTATGTTTTCGTCATATACAATTGTACCAATTTTAGTTAAAATGAATTTGATCAGACTTGGCAGATCCACCATGTTAAGTCCACCATCAAGCTTACTATCGATTACAGAAGTTCCTTTTAATTCGAAAAAGAAGACTCAATGTCTTTAAAAACTCAATGAAGCATGTTTAAAAATCCTAATTGAATATAGGCCTAATATTTGTGATACACGTATTGCTTTAAATATACGAATTTTCCAATATAAGTTATGCTTCTTTTTGACTAGAAGGTGGAAATATTTATCAGTTAATAAATTCAATAGATCCAGTTATCTTTGATATTTCCAGCTTGAATAATTTTTGCTGAAAAAATACCGAGGGCTTTTCCTTTTTCTTTACCAAATTTCGAGTTAGTATTGCTAATTTTCTTCAGTTTTATTTTAAGGCTACCAAGAAAAATGCCTCTGTTTTGTTGTGTTTAGCTATTTTTTTTCATAATCTTACTTTGATTGATTGTTTGATTTTGTTTTTCATGAGTGTTACTTCTTTAATCATCAAGCCTGGTAACTCAAGAGGCTGTATTACAGACCATCTTGTTTTTTTTTTCTCTTTTTGATTTGTAAAACAGATAATACAGCAGGCCCTACATGTTTACTATTAGACTGGAATACTGCAGTGTGCCACTAACTTCAAATTTGTAATATTTTCTTAACGACATGTATCATTTCTGTAAAAAATAGGTGCTTTGTCATCAGATGCTTGCCGCTGTGGACTATAGACCACATCATCAATTACTGTGAAGTCTTCAAATCCCACCAAGGAAAAGAAGGACACGCAGATCTGGATAGCGACACCATCAGCTTACAGCGACGGATATCACAGTGTAGTGTATAAACAACAGTGGAATTCAAACTAACAAACCAATAAATGACTTGATTTCCTTATTACTCATCGATTTCTTAATCTCGTTTTAACTTATAAAGGTGTGTCACTGTACTTCTGTTTATTGATACGTTAAGCTACATTTTCTCAAGTGTTGAAAGTGGCTAATAAATTCATTTTGAAGTTCCATACTTTTTCTTGTCAAATACATAGTAGAAAACCTCAAAGAATCCATAAACATTTTAAATAGCTTATTTAAAACGATCAAATAAATTTATATTAATTTCCAACCTAAAACAAAACGCAACAAATAAATAGTTTTCGCTGGTGGACAGATATTTTATTACAAAACGCCTTAATTTTTAGTTGATTATCAGCAAGGGCCTATAAAAAAGAAAATAGAAAAAGAAATACAGAAAATGTATTATTACCTCCCAATCGTTAGACAAGGAACGCATAATACTGTTATTGCACACTTGAAAGCGAAAACAAATATTATTAAGTTTGGTACGTTTCTAAAT